GACAGTGTTTTTAAATCTTCAATATCCATACTGATTTTCTATCTAGTCTATCAATTATTGAAAGAAGAATGTTAAAATGCCTGGCTGTGATTCAAAATTCTTGTATCTTCCTTTGTATTTTCAAGTTTTCTACCCCTGCTTCAAAGTTCTGAGATTAGGACCAAAGTAAGTATGTTTTTTATAGTCTTAGGTAGATTGACCTTTTATCACTATTCAGTGGTTTTCTTTATTCTTATAAATTCTCTCTCCCTCTCTCTCTCTCTCCCCATTGAGGAAAATAAATATAGTATCCAAGTGTGTGGGTTCAAACTTGCAATCCCAGCACAAGGAAGGATCCAGCATGTGGTCGGGGACATATGATACACTGTTTTTTTCCACGATGAAATGAATTTGTTTCTGTCAGAGATTTAGAACAGACATAACAAGAACACACTTTATCTTATCGGGCCAGATAAGCTTTGAAGAGGGGTGGAAAGACCGCTGAGGGCTGAGGGCGGAAGCTTCCTCTGATAGTAGAAGCCCCGGTGCCGCCAGCTTCCTGATGCCACAGATGTCACAAGGCCCACTGAGCAGGAGTGGAAGATGAGCTTTTGACCTCGTTGTAAGAGGAATAGAGTGGGAAAAAAGAAGGGAATAGGAATCACATCATTTTATTCTAGCAGGTACCCTTGGCTCCTACATCCTTGGAGATCCACAAGGAAACCAGCTATGGACTTTCTCTATTACAGCAGAGTAGATGATTTTAAAATTTAGTGGCTCATGCAGCAACATTCATATCTCACACGGTTCCTAAGAATCTGGAATCAGAGTAAATCGGGTAGTGTTTCAGCCTCAGGGTCTGTCTCAGAGGACTTGAGTGGTCCTGAGAATTCACATCTGTGCTCACAGAGTAGCTTGTAGCTAAGAAGCTCTTGGACCTGTCTGCCCAAGCACTCCACTGAGGTGTCCAAGACTGTCACTCTCTGAGAGTGACTGAGTCCAGAGGAGAGACTAGATGGTGTCGTGTGATTGTCACAACCCAGCTTTGCGGTGGTCAAGCATTTCTGTGCGTGTTGGTCACGCTGACCTGCTCTGGTACAGTATGGGGAGGCGACTAGAAAGATTAAGCAGGAGAATTCCTCTTTAACCATCTTAGAGGCTTGCAAACACATCTATTACAGTACTTTTCCTGGAGAACTCACACTGAACTTCCCAGGGCTCCTTCTTTTGCTTAATCTAAGAATAGGAAGAGACAAGAATCTTATTAAAATTTTAAAAATCTTATTAAGGATTCTTGTAAGTTTCATAAAAGCTATTAAACCTGAAGAGGTCTGCATGCTTCCCCCTCCCCTTCTCTCCCCTCCCCTGCTCTCTTCTCCTCCTCTCCTTTTCTCTCTCACTCTCTGCATCACACTCTGACTCTCCTTGAGACAGAGAATGTAAAAATCAGAAATTTCAGATTGAGATTCTTTTTTTCCCAAGTGAACATGCCCACTGAGCATGATCCCTATCCCTCATGCCTACAAGAAGAGCCTCTGTGAACTCCCATTCACCAGGACTCTCTCTGATCTCTGGAGCAGGAGTAAGAGCGAAGGGTGGAGCCCTAGACGTCTTGGCTGATTGTCAGTTTTAGCTCTTTGGAGATGGGGCAAGAGGTTACTGCAGCCCCAACTTGAGACTTTTCCTCTGAAGGTCAAGTTAGCATTTAGAGTTCATTAAATCAAGGAAGGACTTCCGTCACAGGCGAGGAAAGCCAGGTCAAGTCCTGAGCACAGGGAGATCCCCCAACATCCCCCCCCCCCCCCGACATTGCAAAAGTGCCAAGTGAATTTATTATGCTGTTAGCACAGCTGAGGTTTTCTTCCCAGAGGAACATTCTTAGAGAGGGAGTCATGAATTGGTGATTTGTTGCAGATGCTACTCGGTTTTGCTTTCTTACACAGATTTTAAGTTTTAAAAATGCCTTAAATTTTCATTACATTTTTTTTTATCCCCCAACCTCAGCAACTCCTGACTCATCTTTGACTTTAGGACATTTGGTCTTGAGACACTTATTAAATCTGTGCTTTTCTTGCTGGGTTGTATCTTTGACTGTTTGTTGTCGATGCAGAGATGATGTCTAAGAAGGTGTGTGTGTGTGTGTGTGTGTGTGTGTGTGTGTGTGTGTGTGTACATGTGCTTGCATGTGCCTATGCACGAGCACATACGACAGAATACCTGTGGAGGCCAGAAGGCAGCTTACGGAGAAGTTAGTGTTTTTCTTCTACCATGTTGGTTCTGAGGATGTAACTCAGGTTGCCATCCTCAGAAATGTCTTTGGTTGTTTCTGGTTTCATTAAGGAGAGCTCTGACTTTCTTTTATCCTTCCTTCCTTTCTTTTGTCTTTTTGAGATGGGGTTTTTCTGTGTAACAGTCCTAGCTGTCCTGGAACTAGCTTTTGTAGACCAGGCTGGCTTCAAACCCACAGAGACCCGCCTGCCTCCCAAGTGCTGGGATTAAAGGTGTGTGCCACCACTGCCCAGCTAAGGAGAGCTAGCTTTAAGAGGTACGGTTCTTATTGCTGGATGGAAAATGAGGGTACATCAGATGGGGTGGGGGTCACCTAAGACCTTCTGATCTGAGAAATCTTTACAAGGTAGCTGGACTAGACCCTCCCTGCGAGGTGGAAACGCTACAGCAGTCTCGGAGAGCCAGACTTTCCAAAGGCTTTACAAATAGACACATATGAAAGACACACAGGACTACTTAGGTTTCTCATATATTTTTTTTTCAGCATGACCTTTCGTTGTTAGCCCTGGAAGATCTCAACACGGGTCTCTCTGGATTTTCACAAGAGCATTGAAAATACCACTATTCATTTAGACAGTACCAAATACGTAATTGTGAAGGATTGATAAAGACCATTCTGAAGATAAATAACCACAGCAGAGATGGGCCAGATTTTTAAGCACTGGTATTGTTATACTCGAATGACAGTTAGTGGTATCAAGGGATCAGAATGAAGGTAGAACCATAGGTCAGCCACATCAGCAGATGGGGTAAACTTCCCCTCACGAGGTAAGGCTATCATATTACCTTGAGCTCTGTTGTGTGCTAAACCCCATGGATGGCAAAGAGAATCTTGGGGCAGGAAAGGATTTATTTTATCTTAAACTTCTCTGTCACAGTCCATCATTGAGGGAAGCCAGGACAGGAGCTCAATCAGGAACCAGGAGGTGAAAACTGAAGCAGAGGCCACGGAGAACAGCTGCTTGTTGATGTATTCTCCATGTTCGTTCAGGTTGCTTTCTTACACCATCCTGGACCACCTGTCAAGTGGGATGCCACTCCCAGTGCTGGGCAGTCCCACATCAGTCATTAAATGAGAAGATGCCCTAAAGGTTTGTCCACAGGCCACTATGATAGAGGCATTTCTCATTTGAGGTTTCTTCTCCCCAGATGACTCAAGTTTGGGTCAAGTTGACAAAAAGCAAAGCAAAGTAAAGCAAAACAAAACAAAAAAAAATATGCCTATCCAACACAACTCTACTTTGACAACAATCCACTTTCAATTTTTAAAAAAGATTTTGGTCGTTGCAAATATCTTAGTTTGAACCCTAAATTTTCGCACTTATGGAGTGTCCCTCCCCACACGCAATTTTTCATCCTATGAGGCCAAGAATGTGTTTTATCCTTGTGTGTCTTTGAGTGTTGGTCCTATCAGTTAGTGAGTGGTGTGGGATCAATTGCTTGTCTGGGTTTCTCCATCCTCTAGCGGTGGAGAATAAGCAGTAGGCGACCCTGCATGCGGTCACACTCTATGTGGAAATAGGTAGTAAGTAATTGGGTTCTGACGTCATTTGCTTGGTGTCTTTTCAGCTTTTGTTTCTGATGCCAATAACTGTGGAGTAGATTTCGCTGAAGTTAGGGCAACTGGCTTCTCCACACCAAGACCAAAGACTTGAATGAGAGCAAAGCCCAGGCTCTACCTCAGTCTTGTTACTGACCTGACCAGATGTGACTTCTGCTTCGTTTTCAAATAAACCCTAGAGGTTTTTATTTTGTTTGTTTATTTCATTTTGTTTTTTTTTTAAATTAATGTAGTTGTGCCAAGTGAAATATCCATGTATGGGACAGAAAACCTTTAGTATTTATTAATGTAGGTTACATTTACATCAGTTATTTATTTAAGAGCAACAATAACCTTTGCAGAAGAGATTCTTTTTTTGAGATTGAAACTTTTCTTTTTTCCTCCATTTACACAATAAATAAAAGGAAAACCATGCTCTTTCTCCATATGAAGGACTTTGGTAATTACACATCCCTATGGTTCAATAGCTACTATTGTTTCAGAAAAACAATTGTATAGAAAATTAAAGTCTGCCTAGCCAGTATTCTAGAACCCCTAGAGTTAATCCATAAAATCCTTATTACAAGGATTTGAGAGGCCATTTGCAAACAGTTAGAAAGAGCCCAGTTATGGGGGCTTTGGATTCGGTCTCTGCTTGTGTGAGCTAGTGGCCTGGGTAAGATATTCCCCTCTGAGCATCCTGTCAGTCTGTGGAGATTGCAAAGAATTCCATGAGCCAAATCAGCATGCAAAGAGCTGGTTGGACACTCGGGCGTACCTGACGTGTGCCAGAGTCTTCCAAACCTTGACCCAGAAGTGTCAACTATAAAACGAGCTGCAGTTGAGTGCAGAGCACAGCGGTGGGGAATTCTTGTCTGTCTACCTGCTCTGTAAGGATAGTAAGAGATCTAACACCTAACAGGAACCGGGCTGGTTCTCCTGAGTCCCCACCAAGGAGCGCAAGACACAGTTTAGACAATCTGTGAAGGATCATGGAGATAAGGCTAAAACTGGAAGTACATTACACCAAATCTCTCTGAAACAGGGGAACCAGCAAGGATGGTAAGAGCTGTTTTTTAGTTACCAGAGTCAGTTTCTGTCTTTCAGTAACTGGGTTCCTGTATCTTAACTGATAAGAAAACTGGAAGGTTTTTAAAAGACAGGGTGGCTACCACATTTGCATAAAGCTATTAGAGAAGCTACCTTTTAGAGCTGAGACATTTTGGTGGTGGGGAGCTGAGGAAGAAAGATCCCTAGGATGTCTGGCTAATGGTGAGTGCCTTTCAAGTGCTTTTTTTTATTTATCAAAACTAGGTTTATTTCAAAGGGAAAAGCCTTTTCCAATTCAAATTTAGGTTAAAGGTAATAATTACTACCTATTACTACCAACTTTGCTTGTGAGATAAACAGTATTATTAATGGGGGAAAAAACAAGATATGCCGGGCAGTGGTGGCTCACACCTTTAATCCCAACACAGAGGCAGAGGCAGGTAGATCTCTGTGAGTTCGAGGCCAGCCTGGTCTACATAGTGAGTTCCAGGACAGCTTCACAGAAAAACCCTGTCTCGAAAACCAGAAACAACAGCAAAAACCAAATTATGGGTGTTAAAATTGAGATCCAGAATTTTGCTATTTGAGGTGGGATTTTGATCTAAACTATTGGGATGAAGTTGTGGAAGGTCACGAAACTTCAGAGCATACCTCTAGAGTGCGCATGGGTTCCTGGATCATCCAGGAAACCCACATGATTCTAGAAATGAAGTGATGAAGTGTTCTTGGCTGGTAGTGTTGTGTGAGAGGCTGTGGGGCAGGGAGGGGGGATGCAAGAGAGACAGTGAAGAATGGTGAGACTGTGGGATGCTGAGGACCAGTCTATTTGGGAGTCAGGGAATCACCAAGGAATCCCGCCTTTGTTCTGGTATCTGTTTTGACACCCTGGTTGACAGCCCCATCTTGTCTTGCTGAAGGTGTCCGGAAGAGTGTGAACAGAAAAAAAATATGTCTGAACTGGTCCTAAAACTTACCCACTAGACATCTGTTTTTCCATTGTGACTTTTTTCAGACATTAAAAACAAGCAAGAAACCAAATAGGAAGTGCACCTCTCTGTATCTATGAGTCTCTTAGCAGGTTTTCAAGCCAGACTATGGGCACAATACTGCCTCCAGTCCCTTACAAGCATCTGGACCCACCTTGACCTTTGTCTATGAATAGTAGCTGAGACAGACAATTGGCACTTATGTCAATCTGCATTTAAGCCCTTTTTCTCGTCTACTATGGGGTTGTGGTAGTGTTTGAACCTAGAAACTCATGCATGTTGGTCAAGTGTTCTATCACTGAGCCGCTCCACACCCCAGTGTTTCACCCCTGATCTTACACTTATTTGCTGTAGGACTCGAGGCAGCCGGATTCTCTTTGTTAATTCTTGGGTTCCTTCTCTAGGAAGTAAGCCAGTCGGTGCTAACACCAAAAAGCTCAGCGGGTGGTTTCTAAAGAGGAAGTAGGTGTAGAATCCTTAGTGTTCTGCTAAGAGTGAACACTAACTGATGTCAGAGTTCATCGCTAGTATGTTTCCCCCTTTCCTGCTCTGGCCATGTTCATCTATTTGTCCAGCTATCTGGGTGCTGGGGATGCTAGTTTGATTGCTACAGATCTCTCAGAGGAGAATGGGGTTCTCCATGTTTTGGATTACACTGTTGACAGAACAAGTTTGGTCCTAAGGTGTTTTCCTACCTGGGTGCCTACATATTAGTGGACCCATAGCCCAACTGAATCTGTAGAAAGAGTGATGTGCAGGAGGGGTGTGTCCCTGGTTTTAAGATCCCCAATGATAGAAATATTTATTAACCACATACTAGTACAAGCTAATACATGGATGGATTCTGGTCCTTTTAAATGTTTGAATGTTTATCTGCTGTATTTTTTGTTGGTTCATTGGTTCATTGTTGGTTAGTTTTTTCCTTCCTTCCCCCTTCCCATCTTCACCTCTCCCCGTTCTCCTTCTGTGTCTATCTTCTTCTATCCATATCTCTCTCATCCTTCCCTTTTGAGACAGAGCTGTGCTATGTAGCCCAGGCTGGCCTCGAACAGGTGATCCTCCTGCCGAGTCTCTCAAGTACTAATGCTACAGTGCTGGCTCTTTTCTCTTTATGCATACATATTCTAGGCAGTGGGGATATAGCTCAGTGGTCAAGCACATGCTTAGCATATCTGATGATCCCTGAAACCTCCAGTGTCCCCAGATAAAACCAATCCAAATGAAAACAATCTAGTCTCTCTTTGTACATCTGTGTCCTAACTAATTGTAAAGGGGACAGATTTTCCCAGCAAATGTGCTTTTCTAAATGCCAAAGAGTTGGGTATTATCCTGTGGTGTGTCCCTTTACGCCATGAAGCATATATGTTTCCTGCTTCCACACTCATTTTTATCCTTCATCTTGATGTCCATAAGATTATTTTCATCACTCAGAATGTTCTAGAACCTACATCAAAATACAGACCTATGCCTCACATCTTCTCTGGTTTCTATCCACTGAATTAGTGTGAATGTGCTCAGGACTTGAGAGATTTGACCGTGACAACTCTCCGACTTGTATCTTTTGTCTCCACTCTTCCTTGCTTCGCCGGGCCTCTCTGATACTCAGATCTGGGACATCCTTCTTCAGCAGGGCTCCAGGTTGGCCTGGTCCTCCTGTCTGGGCTGTGCTTTTGCCGCTTTCTAAAGCACGCTTTCCCAGGCAGCCTTCTCAAACCATCTGTCTTAAACTTGCACCCCTCTAACTGCTCCTGTTCCCTTCCTCCTTAAGTGTATCACGGTCTAAATCTTTTATCAGCACCCTTAACTTACCTACTTGGTTATTATCTCTTTCTTCTAGGGTATAAGCTTGACAAGAGCAGGTAGCTTTGTATTCCTCTGCTCTGTCTGGCACATTCCTATAGCTCCAGTATCTGAAGCAATGACCCTTGTCTAACCCCATAGCAATCCGAGGTTCAACATGCTGAGGTTGAAAGCCTGTTTGATGCAGAGTTGGTGGGTTTCACTGTACAGAATGCTGAAGCACAGAAACCTGTACTTACCAATGAGTTACTAGCCCTGCTCAGTCCTCTGAATATTCCCTATGAATGTCCCTTGGGAACCCCTCAAAATCTGGAAGCTCTAGACTTGGCCTGGCTCTCTTTCAGTGGCTGCTAGCTCCTTCTATCCCCTATTATCTTATAACATTTATTTCCACATATTTTATATGTGTGGCGTCACTAAAAGGGAATGCTTGTTTTCATTAAGGTGGGTCTTCCACTTCAATCCACCCAGTTTAGGAAGTATCCAGAGTGTACCCGGAGGTTCATCTCTTAGCTGGCTCTAACTCTTCTAACACTGGCCCTCAGTATTAGCCACCACAAGGCCGAGGGTCACACACATGACTTAGCGAGGTAGCGTGGTAGAAGTAGATGAGTCACTCTCTCTTAAATCAGCTTGCCCTGTTTAGAATTACAGATCCCTCAAGCATTACATCTCCCAAGCAAAGTAAATTATAGAAATCAAAGCCAACCTGGGCCATAGAAACATCAGCATGTATAGAAAATCAGCACGTATCCATTTCAATGGCATAGTATGGAAATGAAGATTTGGAAGAAAATCAGATTATTGTTAGGTGCGCAATGTAAAGAAATTAATCCAGAAATTTACCAGTTATATTAAAAATAACCTGAGATCAAACAACTCCAGTGGGATTAGTTTGGTAATTGATAGAAGCTGGAGCAGCAAAACTTACAGATACATCTCTTTCCTCATAGCCTCTCCCATTCTGAGCCCTCTTTTTCTTTCCAAACTGACTGATATGAATCTGGGATCTTGCAAGTACAGAATTCAGGAGTCAGTCTGGCAGGCTTAAACATGAGGAAGTGATATGATCATCTTGAAGCTGATCCTAAAGAGCTACAGGTTGGAAACTGAGGCAGGATTTCTAAGATAGTAAAGGCCCAGTGTCTCGCTGTGCCCTTCTGCATGTCAGCAGATGGATGAGACCTATCCTTTACTGTGGGGAGTTGCCACTCTGGCCTGCCAGCGCTTGTGAGGTGAACTTGGCAAGTGTTTCTAAGGTCATCTTCGCTTTCATTCAAGAACCTGAAAACAAATTGGGCTTCCTGCTCTTAGTTTTAAGTGGAAAACTGAAAAATGAAAGGTAAGGAAAAACCTACTCAAAGGTTTGAAGAGGGAAATTATAGACCAAGAGGGACTGGCGAGGAACCTCAAAAGGTGAGGGTATTTGTCCCAACCTGTCAACCTGAGTCCAATCCCCAGTCCTCATATAAAGGTGGAAGTCATAAATTGACTCCATGAAAGTCATCCTTTGACCATCCTGTGATATCACATCATATACAACAACAATAATAATCAATTAAATGCATAAATCAAGAGCATTCATCCTAGAACAACTTATTCATGGAATTTTTATTAAAAGAGTCACCCGTTCAAGTCTTCCTCTTGGGTGTTTGCTGGATTCTGGTGTTACCATGTTGCTTTTTCAGGATGTTGGAGGAATTCTTGCATTGATGCCTGCCCATCTCTTCCTCTCTGGATCCCCACAGCACAGGAGCAGGGTTTCTTGCCAGGTTCCAAGGGCCTCACAGACAAACAGGAGGGCTCTCCGGATCCCCTCAGCATGGGAGCAGGGCCTGTTGCCTGGTTCCAAGGACCGGGCTCCAAGGATCTCGCAGACAAAAAGGCGGACTCTCCGAATCCCCTCAGCATGGGAGAAGAAAGTCTCTAGTCCAGCGATAGTAAAATAACCAGTTGAATGAAATTTGGCCCTGCCTCTGCCCACTGAGCTCACATCCAGCACAGACTACATTTCTCCTTTCCAGGAATCAGACCCTTGTCCACTGCCCATCTCCAGGAAAATGCCCATGCGGTGTCAATATTCACCATGGTAACCTCTGGTTCCCATTGCTCAGCATCACATAAAGATAGTAACACTGTCCTGTAGTTGCTGCCTTTTGCTTGGGATATCTTGGGAAAGAACTTGTTACTTTAACCTTGAAACAATTCCATATTTTTAGAACATGATGTCTTTAAGATTCACCAGTTCATCATGTCCTTATACTGTAATTCCTGCCTCTTATCACTGCCTATTTATTATTTTTCTTTACCAATTCTGTTGATAGACTTCTGAGTCATTTTCAGATTTGGCATTATGGATAGGGCTCATTTGTGGACACGTGATTCAATTTTCTAGGAATTCAAGTGCTGAGGAACAAGGCAGATGTTTCCCAGCCA